CGTTTTCATAACAACTGAAAGTAACAATTGCTTTATGTAGAATTTAACTGCCTGAAAAATCCCCCCTTTAAAATGTTTTTTGGCTCCGTTTTGGTTTGTTTACCTCCTGTTTGTACACAAATGGCTTTTGTCCTGATGCATCTCAGTAATCCAGGTAAAAAATCAAAAAGAAAAAAAATTGTATAGGTCTTCTGGACGGGTTCTTCTCTAATGAAACGTTTCGTCTCTCCTCCAAGAGACTTCTTCAGTCTGAAACTTTGAAAACGTTTGCCTGAATCTCTCAGACTGAAGAAGTCTCTTGGAGGAGAGACGAAACGTTTCATTAGAGAAGAACCCGTCCAGAAGACCTATACAATTTTTTTTCTTTTTGATTTTTTACCTGGATTACTGAGATGCATCAGGAGATATTGTTCGGGCCCATAAAAAAGTTAAAATAGGCATAATTGGAGCTGAATTTGTTTTCTTTGTTTCTCCAAAAATTATATGAAATTGTGTCAACTATTGAACAAACTTTAATATACATTTTGCTAGAAATTTACAGAATAAGAGAATACACAAGAGAACAGAAGTTTTAATGAGCTATAAATGGCTCCACAGGTTTTAATATTTAATTTGCTGACCATGTGGGCTGAACCATTATAAAATGAAGGAAGGGGTGAGAAGTGTTTGCCAATAATGCGCAGAAGACACTGTTTCCGATTTATACAACTTAAATTAGACATAATTTATTTCATTTATTAAATAACATTGGTGACAGTAGTTTTACAGCCTTAATTAATATCCTATAAAATAATTTTAGTATCGGTAAAGTAASCTCCCCCTCATGTTGAGACAAATGGTTCATTCAGGAAGCGTGTTCCACTGTTTGGGGAAATGCCACAAACAAACTGGCATTCGTGTCTTCTAATCGTAGTGCTTTGACTTGTTATTGCGTTTTATTTGAAGCTTAAAAGCTGTTTTTGAGTTTTATCTTTTAAGTTTTTTATGTTGTGTTACGAGCCAGGGCATCCATTCCAGCGCGTGTCGGTTTTAGCTTGAAGAGAAATTGCAGGTTTGCTTTAAAACTGCAGCTGCCCCGCAGGACAGAGCGAGAGAGATGTCTGATTTTATTTTATTGCTTCTGATAATTGTCCTCCTGCTGTGCCTGGTTGTGACAGTCGTGGGCCTGCTGGTGTACTCGGGACTCCTGTCAGACGTGGAAATTAAAACCGGGCCCCCTCCCATCAGAAATGTCACCATTGCCTATAAGTTTAAAGAGGGCTCGTACAAAGACTGCGGAGCTGCCTTCACAGAGAGCTGCAGCATCGGGCCAAAGCTCGACTCCATCGGTGTTTTCTACGATGACCCCAGACAGGTGAGACCTGCTGCTGGACTGTTTAAACACATTCGACCTCATGATAAAACCCGGCGTACTTTGTGCCCTGATAAGATGTTAGTTCGTGGGAATATGTGCTTTGTTTGACCTGGACAAAAGTCAGATGAAACATATTAAAAACTCAGGTGACGAACATGCTGTTCCTGTTACATAATATGCCATTATTTGTTCAGTGTTGACAAAAGTCTTGTGTTAAATTTGGGCAAGGAAATTATGTTGAAACGTACTAAAAGTCAGAGTCAACATTTTGTTGCAAATCAAATTTATTTTATAGCAGTTTTGTCAAATAATACAGTGATGRTTTCTTTAAAAAAACTGTTGTAGAATGGATTTTGCAGATACAAATAAGGTTTATAGATTTAATATAATAGAATTAATATGTAGGGATTTTATCTACAAGATGAGATAAGCTTTACTGTCCAAAGAAAGTGGTCTTGTTTAAGTCACACTAGACAACTTGTGCCAACGTATGAAACATTTTTTATGTCTAAATAGCTGGTGAAAGTTATATATTTGAGCAATTTGTTAGAATTACATTATGCACATGCCGAAAAGAAGCTTCCTCTTGATTTTTGCAATTCCTTCCTCAATGTAGACATCTTTAAAATGTTCATAAGTTGGCATAAGTTGTCCTTTACATGCACTGGCTTGCTACTGCATAATCCAAAATCCATAACCATAGTGTTACATTCACACCTAAAAAACACTTTAAAAAGATACACCATAAGAGAAATAATTATGCATAAAAATATGAGTAAACCCACTTGCTTAGAATCTACACAAGTATTAAGGTTAAGCTTTCTATCTCAGTATGAACAGGAAAACTCATTTTAAGATGAAAGGCTACAACTGCATTGAACAAATTTGTATCGCCTGCCGCGTTTCACTCTACAGTTTTTCTAACCAGCTTATTTTGAGAAAAGGTGCATTTGGAGCCATCTTGGTCAAACCTTGTACATGATGTTATGTGCAATCTCAAACAAGAGCTTGTGAGATTTGTTAGCTCTCAAAATGTGTTGTTAGTTACCACCGCACCAATTTTTAATTTATTTTCTGTCAAATTGGCTGAGGTTAGGGCTGTTCAGTAACAATATGTATCGTGATAGACGTGATCAGTATCAATGGAAAATTTGTCCAGTAGAATGTAGATAATTTCATTGAACTCTGATCCAGAACCGCACAGCATTGTGGGCGATGTAGGCAGAGGAAAAGCTTTAGCTGCTCGTCCTCACGGCCCAGCTAAACAAGGTTGGTGGCATCAACAAACTCAGCCACTCTTTGATAAGTTAGCAACAATCTATTAAGTAACGTGTGCAGTAGCGGTTTCATGTTTCACCATTGTGCCTCATGACTGCTTCAAATAAAAGAACAATGTGGAGTGAAAGGAGAGAATGAGTGCAACAACTTGAGAGGAAATWGTGGATAAAAAAGGAAAGGTCACATCACCAGTTTGGCAGCATTAATTCATCCTTTTTTCTCCTGGTCCTTTATTTTAAATAGGTAAAACAAAAAACTTATCAATAATTATTGATATCAACTGATATGAAAAGCTTATACCATGATACATTCTTTAGCTGTAGCTGAAGTGTAGCTATTTTTGTTTTGGCTAAGGTGGATTAACAGCAATGGTCATTTTTCAAAAGTTATTCAGTTTTAGACACATATCCAACAATTATTTTGTGAAAGTTTCATCAAAATCCATTGAGCCATTTGTGAGATATTTTGCTAACAGACATAAATGATGGCAATAGTTAATGCCAAAATTTTAAAAACATACCACACAATATGCTCTGTATATTATATTTAGCTGAAATTGCTGAACATCAGAATGAATACTGTCACCTCACCAGTTTCATATGTAAATACCAAACTTCACTGACCACCTGTTTCACTCTGAACACATTTTATGCATTTAAACATTCATACTTTCTTACTTACAGGGGGAAAAAAGTTTGTCTGCTGATCAGCTATGCCACCTACAGCACAACAAATGTTTCAAAGTAGTTAATATCCGTTGTGTGTTAGTTTGCATGGCTCAGGGCATTAATATACAGTTGTGTTTTTAAGGAAGTGAGACTGAATGATGAAATCAGTCAGCTGTTCAGTTGCCACGTTGCACTGTTGATACTTTTTCCACCCTCATCTGTGGCTCCAGGCATCTTTAGTTTTTCCCCTCTACTGCTTCAAAAATAGACTCCAGACTCCAGACAAGAAAAGCACATAAAACCCCACGTTTGTTTGAGAAAAGCTGACACGTCTGAAAGGTTCTGCTTTCAGCTGTAGTTAAAATAACTGTGACTTAACAGTCTGAATGCAGGGGCAAAAAAAAAAAAATAAAAACCATCTGTTTCTCATCCTAGTTGCAGGTGACCCCTACAAAGTTTTGCTTAAAATGGGCCTCTACGTAGCTCCTTTAATCATCGTCCTTCATGAATTGTGTTTTCAGTCAACACAAAATGACTGCACAACAGCTGCTAGTTGGGCGAGAATGTTTAAGTTCCCAGCTGATACGGGACGAGCGCCCAGACAAACAGTGTTTGGTGTGATTAAAGTTTGAAGCAGCTGATTAGGTCTGCCACTTGATTGTAGGTTATTCCAAAATTTGAAAGCATAAAATGACTGTTTGGAGCATTTTTCCCTGCTTTGATTAGCGTGCGTCGTCGCAGTTCTGCTGATTTGAGTGCAGAGTTTTCTCGGAGTTCAGAGTGTTTGAGCATCTGACCAGCAGCATGGCGGAATAAAGAGGTTTGTCTAATCAGCCAGAAGATCAGTCTGCTTCATGGACAGTGACAGACGGACCGGTTTAGCGTTTGACTCAAAGTGTTTATTCATCATCAGTTTCTGAGCCAAATCATAGTTTTCTAATCTTCAAAGATTGTGGCACATTGGCAGGACTGTGTTTGTTTTTCTGCTTACACCCACCAGTTTCTGTCCTGTGTTTTTTTTTTAAGTCAAGGATTTCGTAAAAGCCCTGACTGTGTTAGTCACTCCAGCGAAAAAGTTGCGATAAATGATCTCCTAAAGGAGCTTTGAAAACTTTCCTGCTGCTGCTGGAGAGCTTGCGTCATAAGGATCAAAACAACATGGTGGATTTGATGACTCTGATATGAGCTGAGAATGTAAACAAGCCTCCAACTGGTTGCATTCGTGCAGTTTAGACTCTTAAGTTTAAACAGCAAAATCTTAATAATCTATTAATTGAAAATTTGGTTTTCTAATGCAAGAAAAACAATAAACCCCTTTGTAAACAGTTGTTGCATGCAATAACAGGTTTTTGAGCAAATGTTGGGGGCAATTGTTGCACTCAAAAGATCTCCAGCATCCACTTGATTTTTAATAATCTTTTCCTGTTAAATAAATAAATCAAATTAAATCAAATCACTGTTTGCTGTTCATGTTGTTTATTTTGTGACATTTGAATGGGTCACCACCAAGCAGAAAAAGCAAACAAACTCTGAGAGATGCTGAACTTTGGCTGCGATGGAGTTTCCATAATTCTTGTTTTTATGTTTCTTCACTGTAATACAGTTAATCTCATCTGAGAGGTTTAAACACTTCATTKGTTTAGCTTTTGTTTTCACTACCAATGGACAAGCTACACTATTGACACATACGACAAGTCAGATGTCCTGAAGTGGTTTTATGGAAAGGCTATGGATAATTGATATTTTACCTGTTGTAAAGCTCTTTTCACAAGTTCATCTATAGAAATAATTTACACTGACATTATAACGTGATCTAAAGCTCAAAAAGTTGAGTTTTCCCAACAGATGGGAAATGTTTCATAATTTTTACACAGAACCCATCTCCAAAAGATCTAAACTATTTTAGAAATTCTATCATTCTGTTATAAGCAGTCATTAATTCTGTTGTTTTTTAATCACAAGTGTTCACTAATTGTAGTGCAAAAAAGTATAATCACCAGTTTATACATTTTCAATTAAAAGCAGTATTTAGAATTATACTAAAAGTTGGAATATCTTGTTCTTTCTCCTGTTTTTCAAAGTTTTATGTTAAATTAAGTAATGAGTAATAAATGATTTCAGTTATTTATGTAATCCAATTTTTTAAACCCCAAACTGTTGTGACAATTCAGTTTTTAATCTTCGCATTTACTACATCGTGCACATTAAGTTGTTGTGACTCATGGACACTAGATGGCATTATTGGCATTTCAGTGAGGATTTTATGGGAGGCAGGAGGAGCATCCTCTACACAAATCACACAGATCTTTGAACTTCATTTATTGTAATGGCTCGAGTACTGTAACTCAGCCAATAGAGAGCTTTGACTTAATGAAATAAAACTGAATTTCATACTTGAATAAGTAGCTGGTCATGACTGACCTATTTCAGTGGTATTTATATTCTTGAAAACTTTGTACAGAATGCATCAGGCAAACAACCATTTTATTTCCATTTTCTTATCTCTCCAATTATTAGTCAGATCCAGCTCAATGATGAGAGCAATCGGGACTTTTTTCCAGGATGGAGATTTTAAAACTACCTGAACTAATAAAAACACTACCTAAATCTTTTTGTGGGTGCTGCTGTGGCAAAACATATCACTAAACTCTAATTTCTCTTCCTGCCTAATTTGAATCCTTTAAATTTGCCACAGCTCAGCAGTTTGTCACACATCTTTGGCTACGTTCACATTGCAGGCAAATCTGACCCAAATCTGATTTTTTTGACCCATCTGACTCGTATCCGATTTTTTTATGACAGTCTGACCGAGGCAAATCCGAGTTTTTCAAATCCGACCCAGGCCATTTCAAGTATGTGGTTTTAAATCTGATATATATCTGATGTTTTCAAAGTGACTGCAGTGTGAACACTCATGTCACATTCATCTGACTTTTTCATCGTGGAGGTGGGGGTGAAGGACCGATAAGACACTAACCTCAAGTCTCGCTGTTTAAATCTGTAGCTCCGTGTGTTTACAGCTCCAAAACACAAGTCCAGTTGCTTCATCTTTTT